CTTTGGCTATTCTCAAATCTCCCAGCGCTTGCGAAGCCCTGAAAGCTACACAGTTGTACTCCATGAGCAAAAATATTGTCTTTGTCTTTGAAATATTGGAGGATCATAATTGAATTCATAAAGAACACTGCCTTTTTTCTACAAAGTGGCACCACGCAGTTTGATGTTGAGCTCGTGATCAGCATGTCAGCTATCCTTTTGAAGTCATTTTTAGCAATCGCGATGTTAAACTTTTGTATTCGGGTACATTCAAGTGGGGAGTAGGCATTCTTCGTACAGGTATTTATTGGCGGATCACGTCTTATGTAAAATTGTAATAAAACAAAAGCAAATAGATCTTCTTCCAGTGGGTTGAGTTGTGGAAACAAACACCAAAATTTCGTACTGAAAAAATTTCCAATATGGAGAATTGTTAAACAATGTGCTATTTCCTACTAGCTTAGTGTTCGTGATAAACGTAGAACTAATTTCCGTTTATAAAGAGTAAGTCTGACCCAAAACTGTGCACAACAGCGCTTGGGGTTTTTATATGGTATATATGTATATAACTGTGTTTATTGAAACTTCAAGCTAATTCAAACAAGCATTGAATGGAGATCTCCTGCAGCGTACACCATGTCAATTCTTGCTCCAGGTGGAAATTTTGAAGAACAGGTCTGAAACAATCACCAATTCGGGATAATCAAAATAGATCCATGAAGAAAGCAAACCTGGTACCACATCCGTGGGCGGGTTAACTTCCCCTCTTCTCCGTTGAGCTTTTCTACAACAGGAAGCATTCTCTCCTCGGCAGGCAACAGAAATTCAACACTTCTTCGGTAAATTGCATAAGGATCAGGATCGAAATCAAAGTCCATTTCAGGATTCTACAAATATGCGGAAATTATGGAACCTGAAAATTAATTTACGAGCCATGCATCTCATGGATTTCCTTTATGACCTTAGCAGTATGACAATTTTCCAGATTTCCACCAAAATAAATTAAGTTGTTGAAACTTTACGAAGAAATTCTCGAAACTTCCACAACTGGTTATATAGGAAAAAAATAACCACTTAGAATGTGATTCAGGCCTTCTCCTTTTCTTCCAACCATCAGAACCATGCATCACATATGCAGTACGCATAAACTAATACCATGCGTATTTATGAGGGAGCATAACGATGAATTTGCAAAGGTCATAAATGGGTTTTTTTTGCTGAAAATATCAAGCGATAATCATTCCTTAGCTTATTAGCTGTTTGATTTGACGAAGGTATGAAAGTTGTCAGATCCAGTAAGCGAACGTTCGCACAAAATCTTATAACAGCGTTTTGAGAGTGTCATTTTTCGTGG